AGCTCAGAGCATTTGTCCCACTTTATCTGAGAGCTTGTTGCCGAGAGCCCTCGTCTGCCCCCTCCTTCTGTCAGATAGGGAGCCCTGGATAGTTGAGGAGGCATCATCCATCCCTGTCTCCCTCATGGCCAATGGCATAGGGCCTGGCATGTAGCTGGAGCACTCAAATGTGTGTTGAATTGAATGGGCCTGGGGGTTGATGAAGGATCAGACAACCCATCTTGGTGGGACAGGTTTGGAAAAGCTTAAGGAATGGTGGTGACAGGCATATGTTAAAATAGGACTTAGAGGATATTTTGATGGGACCACCTCTTGGGCCCCTTTCCCCATCAGGTTTCAGGAGGCGGAGATGGAGGGGGGGGGGTGGACTCCTGCTCCTACCTCCTGCTTCGTGTTACACCCCTGGGTCTGAAACACAGCCACACGTGATGTGTCCTTGGGGATCCCCACATGACAGCTGAAGGAGGGCATGGGGCTTGGGGTCTAGACCAGACCAGCTCTCTCTGGGTGGCTGGGGGACCCCTGGATAAGATGCAGTGCCTCGCAGGGCTCCTGGCTCTGGCTCACCGAGGTTCATCAGAGGTTGTGCTGCCCCCCTGCCCCCTTCTCCCCCAGGCTGACCTCTCTGTTCTCACAAAGCTACCCTTTCCTTCCCCTGAAGCCTTGAAATCTGATAATGAAACTAATACCCAATATTTTTGCCTCCAAGAGAGGCAGGAGATAAACAGGAAGGCCTGAGGGATTAAGGTGTCTTTCTGAGGGCCTGGCTGGGAGTGGGGTGACATCTCTGTGTGGAGCTGAGGGACCCAGATGGGGGCCGCTCTGCCTGATGCATTTTTCCATTTGTGTAGAGAAAATAAAACACAGAGAAAAGAAAACAAGCCGTAAAATACTTTGCAGAAGCCTGAGCGTGGGCAATTGCCACTTGATGTCCCCTGACAGCTCCAAGAGGTGGGAGGGAGGGGAGCCCTGCCTTTTGATGTCCGGCCTCTGAGTTTTCTTTTGTGTGACCGGTTGTTTGGGAAGAATCTTGTGTTGGTGTAAGGTGCATATGGAAGACGGATACCACCTGGGGCTCCCCTTGGGGTGGGGAAGGGAGGTTGCTGAGCTCCCTGGAGGGGCTCAGAGGTTCAGGCAACCCCACTGGGGAAGTGGGGGGTAGCTAGCACTGTCTTTATGGAGGAAGACACAGGAGTAGCATCTGCCTCCAAGAAGGACCAGAAGATACTGCCGGTGGGGCTTTTCCCAGTACGAGAGGGCCTTGAGGAAGCCAGACCTGGTTGCTCTTCCCAGATCCCTGTCCCTGGGCAGGGGTGCCAGGTCCTTTGACTTCTGTGCCAGTAGGAAAGCTCCAGATTCTGTACTATAGTCCCCGCTGTTCCTTCCAGTGACGTGGGTCCTTTCCTCTGAGGCGCTGGGCCAAGAGCCAGAAGACCCAGGTTCTGGTCCTGGGCCCCCATTTATTGCCCTGGTGCAATAAATGGTAGGTCACTTAACCCCTCTGAGTAGCCCTCAGCACCCTCATCTGGCTGAGTCCAAAGGGACAGTGGACATGCATACACATGCACAATGGTCCCTTGTGCTGGTGGGCAGGTGAGGCTGAGCTCAGTCCCAGACACTGAAGGGGCTGAGGGACCCTTGGTAAGACTCTCAGGAATCATTCTCTGGCCTCATTTGCCTTCTGATTGCTTCCACACTCAGGCATAAACTGAGGCTTTCCCCCTTGTGGCCCCCACAGTGCCTCCCCTTGAGCCCCATCCTTCTTGTCAGTTGAGTGACTAATGGGCGTGTCTTTAGCGAGAACATTTAAAGAAACGTGTACTGTCAGAGAGACCAAATTAAAGAGGCAAAATTTTTTTACATCACAAAAGTAATAAATGAATAAGAAGCTGGTACAAATTTGTGCCACTTGTGTGGTAGAAAAGACACATAGTTTTTAATGCATCGTATGTAAGAGCACTGGACGTGGTAAGAAAAAAAACAACCCCACCTTATTTGAAAACTGGGCAAATGGCATGAACAGGCAACGTACATACACACACACACACACACACACACACACACACACAAAAGAAATATAAATAGAAAAACAAACACATGGCAAAATGTCCAACCTTACTGGGAATCAAAGACATGCAAATTAAAATCATGTGTGTGTGTGTGTTTTCCAGACGAACTGGCGAACGTTAAAAAAAAAAAAAGAATTCTGATACTAAATGCGTGTTGTTATTTTTTTTTTTTCAAGGGTGTGGCGAAATAGTAGCTCTCATATCCTGCTGGAAGGGAGTGGAAGCTAGGACAGCCTTTCTTCAGGGCAATTTGGATCCTGAGTTAAAAACATGTAGATTCGAAAGTTAACCCGGTTGTGCTGTCTTGAGAAATTCACTGCACAGCAGCCATCAGGGCAGGGCACAAATATACATCCAAACCCGCCTCTAAATGCACCTATTGGGGATTCCAGGGAGCCAATGACATATATGCGTGCAGGAGAGGATTAGACAACCTTTCAAAATCACGATGAACTGTATCTGGCATTAAATAGTGGCCATCATTGTGAGAAAATGGGCCACGAAGTGAAAATGTACAGTATGGTCCATGTCCATGGGAAAGAATAAAATAGCCCCACAGCTGAGCAAAGGTTAATTCAAGCCTGCAAGGAGAGACCCCTGCATTAACAGCGGTCGCTGGAAATCTGAGTGCATTTTTTTCCTCTTTTTTTGCTTTTGTTTATCAAGTGTCTGGCCCCACGCACTTCTTTAGACGTTATGTAAAATGCAATTTGAAACATGCTTAGCACAAAAGCAGGCAAAGTGTATTGAAGCAAGAGTGGGCAAGACGTAAGCTGGAGTTACCCTGGAGGTACGAGCCTACAGAAGCAGGTCATGGGCGTCATGGGGTGGTCTGAGGGGGCCGCACTAGATGCCAGGGGGCTGGGTTGGGGGGGGGGGAGATGGGCCAGGGACAGACGTTGAAGCCACGGCTTGGAGGATAAGAAGGATGCAGACAGATGAGGCGGAGCCTGGGGAGAAGAGGGTCACGGAGGGGACAGGCAAAGGGTCCTCATGCATGGAATGCTCTAGAAACTGAAAAAGATTTGGGACAGCTGAAACATAAGAATGAGAGCGGGTGAGCAGAGCTACAGTCGGGAGAGAAGCAGGACCGGCTTATTTGGAGCTCCGAGGGCTGTGACATCTGATTTAGATTTTACCCAGAGGAACATCGGCAGGGCCATTGAGAGATTTTCAGTTGGCAGTGGACATCCTTAGATTGCAGCTCAGAGCCGCTGAATTGTGCGTGGTGTTGAGGCAGCCTGGAGGGCCCAGCTTGGGCGATGGATGGGGTGGTGAGGAAGGGATGGGTTTGGGGGAAGTGCCTCTGGGCCCAAGTGGAGGCCCCACACGGGATGCTGGAATGCGCATTTGGGAGCCAGGAGTACGAGGCAGTGACATCTGAGCAGAGGGGAGAGGGTGCTGAGTCCTGAGGGGTGTGCAGGGAGCAGGCAGAGGCAAGCAGGGGGCTGGGCAGGAGGAAAAGCAGATAAGAGGGTGCCCAGGGCCGTGCGAAGCTTCCCGAGGGGAAGGCGGGAAGGAGGACAGTGTAGCGCCCCCCCCCCCCCCCCCAGCCCTCAGTGCACTCAGAGCAGCCCAAGACAGAGGACAGCCCTGGTGGCTGGAGCTCAAGGGGGTGGGCAGTGTGCTTGGCCAGAGCCGAAAGCCCTGGAAGCAACGCAGGGGTCCGCTCTGGCTGCTCTAACAGAAAACCTCAGGCTGGGTGCTTAACCAACAGACATGCATGTCTCAGGGTTCCGGAGACTCCAAGTCCAAGGTCAAGGTGTCCAGTGGGTTGGTTTCTCCTGGGGCCTCTCTCCTGTGCATGTGCACCCGGTGGGTCCAAACTGCCTCTCCCTATCAGGACTCCAGTTGCATTCGCTGACGGCCCACCCTCGGGGCCTCATTTTGATGTCATCACCTCTGGAAAGGCCACATCTCCAAACACAGACCTGTTCTCGGGTGTAGGGTTAGGGCTTCTGCATACAAATGGACAGAGGGGCATCATTCGGCCTCCCTCCCCCCCCCCCCCCGCCCCCAATAGGCAGGATCGGGGCGTGAGATGAGGCGGATGCCAGCTCCACCTCCCAGCTTTGAGGGGTGTGTATGTGTGATGGGAGGGTTGGGGATTGCAGGTTGCTGGGTAGAAATGAACAGACTCCGTTTGAGAGGGAAGCAGGAGCCACGGCCGTGGTTCAGGTACTGCTGGGTGGCCGGTGGGTGCTTCTGGATCCAATTTTGGACGCAAAGAGGGAGTCAAGGAGAAGCTCCAGCCGAAGGACTGCGGTCCGGCAGGGGAAGCTGGGGACAGTCTCTCCCGCAGCCCAGCAGTGGAGCGGGAGATGTTGGGGACAGTCTCTCCCATGGTCCAGCATTGGAGTGGGGGGGCTTCTGGGGACAGTCTCCCCTGCGGTTCAGCAATGGAGTGGGGGGATGTTGGGGACAGTCTCTCCCGAGCCCCTGCCCTGACGCCTCTCCCTGCCTCCCCGCAGCCTGTAACTGTAACCTGCACGCCCGGCGCTGCCGCTTCAACACGGAGCTGTACAAGCTGTCGGGGCGCAAGAGCGGGGGCGTCTGCCTCAACTGTCGCCACAACACCGCCGGCCGCCACTGCCACTACTGCAAGGAGGGCTACTACCGCGACATGGGCAAGCCCGTCACCCACCGGAAGGCCTGCAAAGGTAGGCAGGGCCCCGGGGCCCCGCGAACACCGTCCCCTCCCTCTGCTTTTCCGTTTCCTGGTCCCGGGTACGGACCTGCCTGGAAAGAGAGCGGGTCATCTGCACGCATGCGCACACGCGCACGCACGCACACGTAACGCGCCCTGACGTGTGTGCGCACACGGGCCCCCGGCCTTCGGAGGTGGAAGCCAGAACAAAGGGGCGATGGAGAAGCTGCTCCGAGGAGAAGAAAGGAGGTGGGACCCCGGTGGTGAGGGTGCCGGCCCCGCCCCCGCCCGGCTGCTCCTCCGGCTGCACAGGTGCGCCGCATACCACAGGCCTGGGGTCAAGTTCGCCAGGCTTACCGGCGGCGGCACAAAGGGCCCTCTTTTACCGAAGCCACGCGGACCTATTCCTTTGGATGTGTGCGCGCCCCCCTTTCCCCCGGGCCCCCGGCCCCCCGGCCCTCGCCCAGACACACATGGTCACCGTCGCGGTGAGGTCGGCCCGCTTCAGGGGCAGGGTCTCCGAAGGAACATTTAATCCACCTGCAAATAGCTTTGCTTCTCAGGACACGAAGTTAAAGGGAGACCGGAGACTATTTTCGGTCACGGAGGCGAGCTCGAATGTTTTAACTTTCTGCGAGGTGTTTTTCTCCCCTCGCAGAAAAGCAATGGACAGATGACTCAGAGGAGCTGATGACATGCCAGGGAACTTAGTGACATAGGGGGTGGGGAGACGTGGCCCCCTCCCCGCTCCACCCCCCGACTCCACACTTGCTTTTGGGAATTCCAGGAAACTGAGCTGTCCGGGCCCAAAACTTGGGGTCTAGGGCCAGAGCTTGCCGTGAGCAGGGCTTCCCAAGAAGATCTTGATGCTTGAGGGCTCGTGGCCACCATCCGGCGTGGACGGGGTCCTGACGCGGACCTGCGTGGACTCCCACACGGGCAAGACCCCAGCCTTGTCGGGCTCAAGATGATGAGCTGCGGTCGAGAAACCCCTCAGTGGCCACGGCTTAGCCTTTGGATGAAGCCAGAGCGTCTTATCAGGAAGTCTGCCAGATGTTGGGCACTTGTGTGCAGGACCGATCACCCGAGTTGTGGGCCTCAGTGCGGGGCTTCTTGTCCTGGAATTGCTAAGCATTTAAAAAATGGCAGCAGCACGTGCCCTTGTGAGCCCCGGGCCCGTGAAGCCGGCCCTGCTTGTGGAGAATTACTTTTCTCCAAAACAAAACAGCCTCCCGGTCTGTCTCCTCCAGGAGCAATCCCTTCGGTTCCCCAGGAACACGGATGAATCCGGTGGCTCCCAAGCCACCAGCAAGCTGTCCTTCCAGATCTGTGGGCTCGAGGCTGCCTCTAGTGGTAGTCAAGAGAAGTTTACGCCTAAAGGCAGCTGGGCTATTTCCGCCTCCCCAAAACAGCCAATCAAGGTGAGGCTCCCCCAGGAGACTTTTGAGTAGCAACTGAGGTGGCCTGGGAGAAGGACCCCAGAAACGTCTACCATGGCGGGAAGGCATGACCAGGGAGAGAGGGCTTTGGGTTTTGAGACCATAGTTGGAAGGTATCCAGCCCCTTTGCTTCTTGTCTTTTGTTCACAGAAATCAAAGCCAAAGTCTTGGAAACAACTGGTAGGCATAGATTCCTTGGGGGAAATTTTAATCACCGGGAGGCACTCAGGTGGACAGCCCCGTGCCCGTTGTGGAGAAGGTCTCAGCTCTGCGTTGAAGGGCAGTGGTTGTGTACTGTGATGCCAGTTTCTTTCTGCCTTTCGTGAAGGAAAGTTGTGTCCCCTGCAGAGGCAGTTGGGAGCGGGGGGCCTCTGTCATCTGACCATTTGCCTCCTCTCCCTCTGCTTGCTTGATGTGGGAAGGTGCAAGAGCCACGTGTGGCCTCTCATGGCTCAGGGTGAGATGTCCGGAAGCCACAGGGTCCTGGGAGCCTGCAGATTATCCTCTGGGGCCCTGCCACTCCGGTTAAGTGGCGTGGAGACACCCGGTGGTCCTGTCTCGTTATTTCGAGCACTGTGGCTGGCCTTGGTGGCTCTGTCTTCCCTCTGAGCCTTGGACAGCAGCTGTCTCCAGGTTTGGTGGGACCTTGGGAGAAGAGCCCAAGGAAGAGGACAAATGTAAGAACCTATTCTGCCCAGAAGGACACCTGCGGATCCTGCCAGGGAAACGTGACAGGCAGGCAGAGGTGGGACAAGGTGTCTCCTGACTGCAGGAGAAGACAAGGCTTCAGGGATCCTGCCTCCTAATTGGGGACGAAAGACAACTGCGAAGAAGATCCCTTCCCTGATTGGTGAACAAGAGGAATGCGACCTGAAAGGTCCCACCTTTTCATCGGTGAGAAAAGGCGTCTCTCGGAAGTTCCTGATCTTTCCCCTTCCCCCTCCACGGAGGGGCTGAATCTTTGAATCCTCTGTTCCCCCTTGGGACGTCTCCCACCAGACTGAGACCCTGAGCTCTTGGGGGGAACCGGCTGCAGGAGGTCAGACGCCGGCAGGGGACTGTGTACCTTTGAGGTGTTCAGACGGGAGTCTCTCTGTCCCTCCCCAACTCCCACCCCACGGAGTCTGTCCACCGTCTTGTCTTTGCAGGGCGGGACGGTTTAAGGAAATGGTCCCAGCATTTTGCTCTGTGATGGGTTGCTCTCAGAGGCTGCTGAAGTCTCCCAAGTCCTGGAGATGTGCAGCCTGGCCAGGCCCCGGCCTCCGGGGGCTCACCTTGGGGAGCCCCGTCACGGCCTCACGTTCTGTGTGCTCTTTCACCCTGTTTTGGAAGCATTGCACTGGGGTGGGGGTGGGGGGCACTGGGACGTCTGACAGAGGCTCTTGACTCCAATCAACAGTTGACCTGAGGGTGCTTGGGAATGGCCACTGGGGCCCTTTTTACCCCTGACTTCCCAGGGCCTGGGAGGAGCCCCAGGCAGGGGGCTGAGGCCACCCAGGCACTGCTGATGATTGGCTGGCTCTCAACCTTGATCGGTTGGAGCAGGGCTGGACCCAGACAAGAACAGCTTGGAGCAAGGGCATTAGATTCCAAACGTTATTATGCAGTCGTCCCATTTGGGAAGTTACATAGCAACAAATTCGTTGGGTTCTTTCTCCCCTCCCCTGGTTTAGAACCAAGCCCGGGGCTGGCTGGCCGGGCTGGTGCATACAAAGGGCTGTAATAAACATGCCCAGGGAACAGGCGGCTGCACTCTAGGCTATTCAGTGCAATTTCACAGCACTGGGAAGGCCTCATTATGGCGTGGGCTGTTGTCCTATACAAAGTCAGATGAGATGAATTTCTCCCTTTTCTCCGCAGAATGGTTTGTGAAAGATACTCTCATCCTGGAATCTGTCAAAAGATAGGCGGTTTTGTTTATCGTTTGTCTCCTTTATGGACTTGGGGGCTCTTTTCTCTTTGGGGCCAGCAGAGAAGACGCCGCCTTTTAACCATGCCAGCCGTGTCTCCATTTAAACGATATTAATTTATCATCTTCCCAAACCATCTGTGACGGATAAAGACGTTCCGGGAGTCTGCCGCGAACCGAGTCGCGAAGAGAATTAAGAAATTAACCGCTGCATCTAGCGCCCCCGCACAAAAGGGCTTGAGTCCCACGTTGCTGAGCAGCAGGGTTTCTTTCGCTGGATGCGCTGCCCCCTTCAAAGCCGCGGTCAGCGTGGGCCGCTGCAGGTCACCAAGAAGGTGTCCGGGTCCTTGGAATATGCGGGCCGTCACGGGGCAGCGCGCGCTGGTCCTTGCCGCTGCCCCCCCCCCCCCAACCCCCTGTTTCTTCCCTCAGCTCTGCGAGAGCCTGGGGAGGAAGTGGGCTCCCCGAGCCACCCCCCTTGGCTCCCTGACCATGAGTGCGGCTCCCTTGTCTTTCCTACCCTCGGTTCTCGACCATCACTCCAGGGCACCCTCAGTAGATTTCTCTCTAACTTGTTCTCACCCTTGGTTGCAATTTGGAATCACCTGGAGATTTGAAAATGCTGACGCCTGAGTCCTACCCACCCCGCCCTGGGGGGATTCTGGTTTATTTAACGAGTCAGATGAGACCTGAGCGCTGGGGGATAGGAGTGAGGTGGGGAGTTGGGGGGCTGTGCTGGCGTTGAGAAAGGAGGCGCTCACAGGGATCCCCAGGATTTATTCTTTTGAGAGGAGAGGTTTATCAGTGAATTCAAGTGTTTTTTTTTTTTTTTATGGCCCTCTTGATGGAAACTGGGTGGGAGGGGGTTGTGTTTAAAATTTAAAGAAAAAGAAAAAATTAAATTTTGCCGGGCAAGGTTTGGAGCTTAGCTGGTGCGTGCTATGGTGCTTGTGTCCGGAGGAAGGCATTGGATCAGCTGGTTATCGCAGCTAGATTTTGTGTGTGTGCGCACGCGCGTGTGAGATTGGATCATTTGAGGGTTTAGTCACAGCACAGCTAGGAGCCTGGGACCCCATACTCCTCCCTGACTCTAAGGTGGTGTCCATCCAGCCTACAAAAGCCTAATAGCCTTGGGAGCGCCCTTTCTTTCTGTGGGTCCCTTGTGACCTTTCCTTTTCCTGTCTGTTATGCCGGGACCGCTGGGGTAAGGATGGTTGGCTCAGGCAGGAAGGCACTCGGCGGCCACCGCAGCTCCCAGCTTAGAGGACAGAGACCACCGCACGAGGGGGTGGGTGCTATCAGGGTGCTGTTATGGCCCAGCACCCATGGAGAGAGAGAAAATCCCCCATGGAAGAGCCAGCTCCGACTGTGGCCGCTGTGGGCGCATCCTCTCCCTGTTCCCTGGGGAACGTGGAGGTCAGAAATCCCGATCTCTGGCTTTGGCTCCGGGTTCAAAGCCTGCAGCGGCAGGAAAGTCATGTGACCTCCCTAGACCTCAGTATCCTTCTCTGTGAAATCGCGTCCAGATTTATGATCTCTGAGTCCCAGCCAACTTCCACATTCTGCATCCCGCGTGCTCTTTTTAAATGTTCAAAGTTTTACGGGTTGCGGGCCACCCCCCCCACCCCGTAACAATGGGACAGTGTCCTGTGTCAGTGAAGTTTG